CTGCCTCTGCATGGGCCACCACCGCCCAGCTCTTTGGCAAATCTTAACTGCTCTCAGTCCAGGGTTTCCCTCAGATTAAGTGAAATTGTCTAAAGCCCCCCTCCCCACCCTCTATCCCTCTCCATTTTTGTTTTTTGAGACAGGGTTTCTTTTGTAACAAGCCCTGGCTGTCCTGGAACTCACTTTGCAGATCAGGCTGACTTCAGATTCACAGAGATCCACCTGCCTCTGCTTCTGCAGTGCTGGTATAAAAGATACTTTTGTTGCCACTGCCCGGCAGGAAGTACTTTTTAATAACACCTTTTCCCTAGCTTTACTGTCTGCTTGCTTCCCTTAGCTATCACAACACCTACTCTCTTTGGGCTAGAAATATCTTCCATGGTAATTTGGGTAAAGTCTAAATCAATTTGTGATATGCCAGCTATTTATAGCCCCCTCCTTCCTCAAGTCCACCCATGATGAGTCAGAGGGATACCTTCTTCAGGGTTGGCCTTCCTGGCTCTGGCTGAGTTCTCAGCATCCTGTGGCTTTTTGATGCAAATGCTATGGTTTCCCAAGCTAGTATTACTAAATAAGGAACTTTACCACCCAAGGTCCCCAAAGGATAGCACTTTCAAGCAAGAACAAAGCCCGGAGGCACTTACGAAAGTGGCAATTAGGGAAATGCACTCTATAAAGAACAAGGCACTGACACAGGTTGGGTGACACAGAACTGCTACCCATCCCTAAACCCATAGGGTAGGGACCAGAGGAGCCATTGGGACCTAGCTCCCGGTAGAGATTTGAGTCTAACAGACCACACTGAGAGAAGTGACATCTAGCTGATATTAGCAGCCAGCTTAAGACAAATCCACGAAAAGTCAGGGAAATAAAGTTCTACACACACACACACACACACACACACACACACACACACACACACACACACACACACACACGCACGCACGCACCTTCCCTCAAGTCTTCTGAGTCCAAATCAGCCTCCCAGGTCGGATGGAATACAGGTCTGGTGCTGCAGAGGACATTATCAGGGGACTATGAATGGCTAAATGGTGACAAAACAGACTCAAACTAAGGGTCAAGAATGCCTCAAAACTGGGAACCATTAAACCTGCTGTTCTCTAATAACTCACTTTGCATTTCTAGGAAGACCTCAAGTTTCTGCTTTGCACCTCGACTGTCAAAATCTGAGTGACTGTGACTCATGCCAACAAACAAGCCTCCCCTTTTCTTTGATTCTCAATGTTCTCTCGTCTGAATATTCTAGCATGTGGCAATGGCCTACCCACAGAAGTTCTCAGGCAAACAACCATATGGGTCCCACCAGAGAGCTCTGGTAGCAGGCTCCGTGGTTCCTCTCTCTCCAGTGTCCTGAGCGAATGCTACTCTCAGGAAAGAGGTGGTGGAGATACAGTGGGAAGATCTAGGCAAAGGCACAGAATTTGTTGGAGCAAATCACAGGTCAAGACTAGAGACAGGGCCGGCCGTTGGTGGCTTACATCTTTAATCCCAGCAGAGGCAGGGCAGGCAGATCTTTGTGAGTTCCAGGCCAGCCTGGTCTACAGAGTAAGTTCTAAGAAAACCAAGGCTACTTTGAGAAACCCTGTCTCAAAAAAAAAAAAAAAAAAAAAAAAAAACTAGAGACAGAATTCTCTCTGGGAGTGGAGTGGAGGACAAGGCTGGAGAGATGGCTCAGCAGTTAAGAGCATGGACTACGCTTGTGGGAGACTGGAGTTCAATTCCCAGAACCCACATCACATCCACCTGCAACTCTAGCTAACTAACATCTCTATCTTCTCTGGCATCTGTACTCACATGCACATGTGCATATGCACATGTGCATATGCACATGTGCACATATGCACATATGCACACATACATTCGATTAAAATTAAAATTATCCTTTTAAAAAATAGCCAGGCCGGGCGTTGGTGGCGCACGCCTTTAATCCCAGCACTCGGGAGGCAGAGGCAGGCGGATCTCTGTAAGTTCGAGACCAGCCTGGACTACCAAGCGAGTTCCAGGACAGCCTCCAAAGCCACAGAGAAACCCTGTCTCGAAAAACCAAAAAAAAATAAAAAAAATAAAAAAAATAGCCAGGCGTTAGTGGCTAATGCCTTTAATCTCAGCACTTGGGAGGCAGAGGCAGGCAGATATCTGTGAGTTTGAGGCCAGCCTGGTCTACACAGTAAGTTCCAGGACAAGCTCCAAAACAATACAGAGAAACCCTGTCTCGAAAAACAAAACAAAACAACAAATCTACCTGCCTGAGAACTGGCCCCACCCTTACTCATTGCTGCAAGGGGTGAACTAGCTGGGGGGGAGGCAATGCTGGACAGCTCATCCTAGTGGCAAGGATGTTAAGGAGCTGGCCGGCTGACCAGCCCTGCAACTATCCAGATACAGAACCAGGGTTATGAGTTGGGCTGCCCCAACATCCTCCCTATCTATGATCTGTAGGACCACGTGAAGAGGCAGGTTCTGCAGACCCAAAGCTGCAGGATCTCCATGATACAGTGCAATAACAGGGTATCCAAGAGGAGTCGTAGGGCCCAGCATCACAGTGTATCAGAAACCAGAGGCCTCAAGCCAGACCAATGACTCTTTGCAATGAACACTTCCAATAAAGATACATGGACAAAAGGGTTCACTGTGTGACCCACTGTGTCACACTACTGCTTCCATGACAATATTTTTCTTTTATTTTTTTCTCTTAAATTTTATTTTATTTTGGGGGAGAGGCTGCAAGGGTGGAGGGTGGATACAAAGGGACAGGGAAATGAGTGAGATCCAGATGCATGATGTGAGAGACACAAGGAATAAATAAAAAGAAAGTTAAAAAAGAAACCCACCTTCCCTAACCAAGTTTCTCACCCATTTGAAAGATACCTCAGACACTAGTGATAAACTAAACCAACAGGACAGTCACAGCCTTCTGAAGCCACCGACAACAGCCGAGGTAGGTCCTGAACTCTCAATCTGCAGTCCTGCTAGGCTGACAATGGTTACATGGTACGACTTGAGGAGCTTAAAAGGGCCTCAAAAACCCCAAATATCTCTTCAGTGAACTGAAATTCCTTTTGAAGTTTCCATCATTTGAGTCAATTGTTTATATTGAGAACCTGCTCCAGAGTCTTTGGCTAAAATGGGCACGATTGCCCCCAAAAGCATGACCTCTTTTGGCTACAGTTTTGGTCTTTTCAGCATCCTTTTTCTTTCCTGTGTTTGGGGACTCTGTCTGAAATAAGCACTGCAAGACACACAGCCCACTTTTGTTTTCAAAACATCTCCCCTAGGGGCACATCATGTGCTTAGTTCAGTGCCCATCCAGTTAGCAGCCAAGCAGGGTCACAGGACCTATGGTCAGTTAACCATGGACTCACTCCAGGCTGTGCATCTGCTGGTGGCACAGATTTAAGGAACAGTAGCTGATGGCAGTGATGATGAGTGTAGCCCTGGCGGCAGTGGGAACTGTGGATCCAGGATACATGGCTGGTTGCAGTCACATTCTCAAAATGATTGTTTCTGGAATGCTTAGTCTGTGGTCCTAATGGTGACATGCCATCCTCTGTTCCCACCCACTTTCCAAGGTGGATCCTCAGCCTCCCAGGGTATTCAGAACTTCCCAGGATCCTTTGCTTAAATTCCCACGATGCTTTAATCAGGTAGAACCAAACTTTTGTTGTGAGATATTCAAAGCACCAATGGCATACTAACTCAAGACCTGCCACAGATAAGTTCCTTTGTTCAATTATTTTTCAGAATCAGGGTTTCTCTGTGTAGACCTGGCTGTCCTAGAACTGGCTCTGTAGACCAGGCTAGCCTCAAACTCAGAGATCCACCTGCCTCTGCCTCCCAAATACAAGGACTAAAGACGTGCGCCACCAGTGCCACCTGGTTAAGTTCCTCTGTCTAAGTAGCTAGTCATCACTCTAGAAAATATCAGGGCCCAGGGTATAGGTCTTATTAATGGGGCAATTATGAGAGCCTGTCTTTGAGAGCAGTGGCTGAGAGAGGTCATTCAGCAGGACAGGGCCGAGGCTTCAAGGCAGCATCAGGAACACAGAAAGCACCTGGCAAGGGTTATGCAGGATGTGTCAAGTCACTGATAGATAGGAAAGGTGGGTGATTGCATGAGCAAAATCCAACGGCATCTAAGGGTTGCCGCTGATGCTGTGGAATACAGTGACTTACTGGGACAGTTTCGTACAGCACTCAAGGGAAACTACTGCTTTGCCAAGTTAAGACCATCGATTTTTTTCTCTGATTTGCCTTAACAGGTCTGCTGACATTAGTCTACACAGTAACAGAAGTCAATTTCTGTCCCCTCAGTTGCCATCGCCACTTCATTTAGTTCCTTTACCACTTAAAAAGTAGAGACGAGAAGCAGCAACTGTGTAAACTGGTATTTACCAAAAGGATGGGAACGGTGACTTTACGTTGTCCCGCAGGGAAGAGCGCAGGCATATTCTGCTTTTCTTGGAAGAATTCAGGGAGAAAGGACTTCAGGAGCCGGGTGCTGAGCATTACTATGTGATTGATGTGGAGTGGGAGGGTCCCCATAGCTGGCCTCAATGTCCTTCCTTTCTGCATTCCTCTGATGTCCCTCAGAGCAAGCACAGCTTCTGGGTCACTGACAGGGTGACCTCAGGCTGAGTTACCATTCTCTTAGCTTGTCCATGGTGGCAATGGGAGCATCATGACTACCCAGTAGATGTGAACCCAGGGCCCTTGGGAAGGGCCTGTCACTGACCCTTTATCACTGCAGTGGCTAGAGTGGAGAGTCCACATCTGATGCCACAGCCTCTGGCAGTACCTTGGGATTATTGTCCTGGATAAATCTTTAGGATGCTGGCTCTCACCCTCCTGGGACATGCAGTGGGAGATGTATTTATTGTCAAATAGCATCAGACTGTCACCCTTTGCCTCCATGGATGTCACCAAAGAAAGACCATTGAAAAACAAATAACCCAAAGGAAACCATCAAAGGACAAGATGCATTTGATTTAAAAAATATTTATGAGCTGCGCCCTTTATTCTACCAGAATGTCACTTAATAAATATTTCACAGGATGATGATGATAAATCTCAAGGGTGGGAGAAGAATTTAATGGGACTAAGGATGGGAGTTCTTTAAATTTTCATTTAACCTTCACGGCGTCACACGGGCATCTGCAGATGTGAGGATGCTTCCCAGAAAAGCGTCCTCATGAGCACAGAGCAAACTCTAACCTTGGCACAGAGTCAGTATATGGAGGACCAGTGACACCGGCTCTTGATGACCTGAAGCAAAGGCTTCTTAAAAGTGAGGAAGATGACGGTGCAGGCCACCAGCAGGGTGAGGCAGCTGGGCAGAATGAGGACGAGGTAGAACAGGCCAGTGTCCACCTGCCCCCACTTACAGTCCCGAGGCATGCCTTCGGGCAGCTCTACCACACGAATGATCTTGGAAGAGAGGTTGCACGTGACCATAGCCAAGTCAGCAACCATCTTGAAGTGCTGCAGGGCCCCCCATCCCTCTACCCCACAGCAGTCATAAGGGTTCTGGCTGAGGTAGACGGCCTGCAGACTCCTCAGTGGCTGCTCAGACACAGCCCTCTGAGGAATGGCCGTGAGGAAGTTTCTACGGAGGTCAAGAGTTCGCAGAGCCAAGCTGCTACTGAACCTGGGGAAGCTGGTTAAGGAATTTTCTGAAAGATCCAGCTCTCTCAGATTCCCAAACCCAGAGAAGTCCATCTCTGCAGTGCCAGAGCTGAGGCCTATGTTCCTGAGAGCCAGGACCTGTAACGTAGGGGCGACAGCCCAGAGAGGGCTGATGCTCCCATTCAGAATGCCCCAGTTGCTAGACAGGTCCAAATGTGTCAACGAGGTCCCCTGGAATGGGCGGTCTTGTAATGACTTCAGCCCACAGCCCTGCAGAGAAAGGCTCCTCAAGGAGGCCATGTTTCTAAAATCCACACAACTGGAGGGCCCCGCCCAGTCTGAGGGCACCACCTGGGGACAGAGTGAGATCTGATTGTGGCTCATGTCAATTGTAGTGATGCTGCTGGCATTGTCGAAAAGGCCAGCAGGGACTCCCGGGAGCTGGTTGGAGCTCAGGTTGAACACCTGGAGGTTCTTGAGGCAGTCGGTGAGCCCGGGAGCCAGGCGCAGCTCTGCCAGCTGGTTGTGGCTCACGTCCAGCTCAGTGAGGGCTCCTGGGGGCTCATGCTCCCGAATGTGGAGCATCTTCAGGCAATTTTGGTTGAGGTTCAGGTGGGAAAGGGATGGTGCTTTCTTTAGGAAACCATCTGGCAGGTGCCAGAACTGGTTTTGGCTCATGTCCAGGAAACGAAGCGCTGACAAGTCACTGGAAGCAAACTCTTCCCAGAGTTTGACGGTGGTGACATTAGTCACATTGCCGTCCACAAGAAGGAACTGCGCTACCATCTCCTGCGGCAAGGAGGTGTTATACAGGTCCCTGTAGAAACCCATGTTGTTGTCCCGTAGCAGGAGGGTGTGCAGCTTGCTGCACTGAGGCAGGAGAGGGAAAAAGAGCAGCTGGTTGTGAGACAGGTCCAGCGTCTCCAGCTCAAAGGCCACCTCCTCCCTGGCTGCCAGGAACCACTCCAAGATGTTGTAACTGACATTGAGGAACCGCAACTGTGTGAGGCTGAAGTCCACAATGCAGGGGAGGTTGTTGTAGGCAAGGTTGAGACGCCGCAGCTCAGTCAAGCCATCAAAAGCACCACCCTCAATCTCGAAGATATAGTTTCTCTGCAAATCCAGCTCCCTGAGGTGCTCCAGGCCCTCAAAGACAGAATCATCGAGCCTCATGAGGGTATTCCTTGCCAAGGACACAGCCTCCAGCGAGGAGAGGTTCTGAAGCATGAGGGCTGCCATGTCTTCAGTCAGGGAGTTTCCAGACAAGTCCAGGCTCCGAAGTCCTAACAGGGTGTGGAGAGCTGCTGCTGTCTCCTTGTAGTTCTCAGAGAGGTGGTTGTCTGCCAGGCCCAGAGTGCTTAAGTGCTCTTGCCTTTGGAAGGCATAGTGGCCAATACGGTCTAGGTCACAGCTGTGCAGGCTGAGATTCTCCAGGTGTGAGTAGGCCTGGAGGGAATGATTCCACAGGACCCTAAGGGGATTAGCATCCAGAATGAGCATCCGGGAATGTGATGGGAGGTTTCTGGGTACCAAAGCAAGGTTTCGCCCCCGGCAGTCAGTGACTCCATCCACCTAGGTCCAAAAACACACAACTTTAGGCACAGACATGTAGTTTGCGAAAGCAATTAGCTGGCAAGAAGGTGTTAGTTAAGTGTCCAGGGGAAAATTTTTTAAGAGGAGCAATGCCATTGCTTCCTATAGGCTGGTCAGTAAGTCAAGGCGCATCTTACTTATGAGTACCAAATGGCTCAGTCTCTAAGGACAAAGTGGAACGAGGAGAAAAGTCCCAAGGATGACACCCAGGTTTGGAGCCAGCACCCAAGTCTGAACTTCCCTGCAGCATGTTAATTTGACCCCGAGAAAGGAGCTAACGGCTTACAGTCTCAAATTCTTTAACTGGCTACTAAAATAAAAGATAGTAACTGAAACATTGATGCTCTATTGAAACATAAAAGAATAAAAAGTAACTGGGTGTGGTGGCAGTACCCAGTACCCAGGAGGCAGAGGCAGGTGGATCTCTGTGAGTTTGAGGCCAGCCTGATCTACAGAGTGAATTCCAGGACAGTCAGGGATACACAGAGAAACCCCATATCAAAAGAAGAAGAAAAAAGGAACTCAGATAATTTTAGCCTCTCTCTCAGATAAAAGTCACTAACCATTACACTTGTAATTTGCTCATAGATTATTTTTTCCCAAGGATTGAATGTGATTGCTTATGTAAATCACATTTATTATGGCTAATAAGTGTTGGCATGTCAGTGGTAATTACTGCTGTGCGCTAATTAATTAAGCTGTTCATTGTTGAGCACTTGAGTTTTTTTTTTAAATTTCAGCATAGGCATTAGAATGAATATGCAGGTTCCACCCTACTTCCACTCCCCCTCCCAAAGCCTACTGCATTCGTGTTGGGGTGGCATTAATGTGTGGAGAACTGACATTTTCACAAATTGAGTCTCTGCACAGAGACAGATGTTGTCTGTATTTTCCTGAGGCCTCTCTGGAGACCACTGTGCATGGTGGCTTTCCTCAGCCTGTGATGGACCCTGTTCCTCCACGCTGCTGCAGTCAAAGGAGGTTCAGACCTTTGTAATTCCCATGGACTCATCAAATTGTTGCAAAAGATCATTACAGAGCATACAGGAACTTTACCACGTCCATTTTATGTTAAGGATGAACGAACACTAATGTAATGGAGAGTAGTGCCGAAACTTTCAGACTCTTCGAATCATAAGAGCCAGAGGAAATCCTGTCTTTGACCTCCTTGATGGCCAAGTCTCTACCACCCCCACCGGGCAGAGTGCAGACTGAGCCCTGGAAAGTGGCTGGAGCCCTACCCCCACCGGGCAGAGTGCAGACTGAGCCCTGGAAAGTGGCTGGAACCCCACTCCCACCGCCTTTGGACTTTGAGAAGCTTAAGGTTGGCCGCCAGCATTGCTCTGCAGTACACTTTGGGTGGCACGCTATCTGTGGGGTCGCTGAAGCCTTTGTGTTGGCTTGCACACAAACTTGCAGGCAGGACTGAGTGTCTCCCTCAGTGCCTGGCAGCATTGGTGGAGCTCATTAGCCAGGTCTTCCTGCTCTTGGTGGCTGGTGTTGTCCTGTTTCTGGGGCCTCCTGTCATCAGTATACAAGCGAAGGCAGGGTGGAGACTTCCTGGTCCTTCCCAAGTGCCATCTTGAAAAAAATCCTGCTAATGAGCAGTATGCACACTGCACTGGGCATGCGCACAGCCAGTCAGGCACACACTGCGTTAGATTCATTCACTCCCTGCCCTCTTCAATTGACAAGTCATCAGCTTTCCAAGCAAACCAAGCAAGCCTCATGAGCACAGGCACAAAAGAGAGGTCAGAATCCAAGAGAAACTCACCGCCTTGCAGCCTCCTTGGGAAGCTGCAGTGGCCATCCCACTTCCGTTCCTCCATTCCACAACCAAGAAGTGAAAACCCAGGCAGAGCCAAAGGGGCAGGAACTCCATCTCAAGCGCAGCTCTGTGGACAGACCGGGACAAATTGAGTAAGGCAGGTTAGCCAAGAGGGATGCTCAGCATGGGGCAGAGGGAGCCGGCTAGCTCCAGCAGGTGTCTTCTCTAGGAGGCCCACAACTACAACGGGGTGGAAAACCACAGAGTATTCAAGTTTCTCAGTTCAGCCAACATGTTCAACCTTTCCCTGACACCACTGGCAAGAACTCATTTTCGTTTTGCCTATGCCATTCAATGGGCAGGTGGCTGACCTCTGAAACCCCAAAGGGGCAGGACAGGAGATGCACACGACTTGATTGAGTACCAGACCTGAGGTCACTGAGTTTCCGGTGCCTTGCCATTCTGCAGTTTTCCCTCTCTGAAGCTCATCTCTGCCAGATTCACACATGGGCTTGAGACATGGGTCCGGTCCAGCATTCCATCTGCTCCTTCCTTGCCTGGATACCCCCAAGAGGACCTCGGAGCAGCTCTTCAGCCTCTCCCTGGGTCAGCAGCACCATGCTGACACGGACCTCCTCACCACCTTCCATGCCACTTACAGACTCCCCTGCCCACAATGCAGACCACCTTTGCCTCTCTCCTCCTTGCTTTCCTTCTAGTATGCTAAAGGTTAGCTTAACTCCTGGTCAGATTTGAATGTTCACTGGTGAAAACAGACTATCAGAAAAACCAAGTGAAACCACGCAGGTCAGTCTCAGCTCTCACTGGAGGCCAGCCCGGTTCTCAACACCACAAAAACAACTCAGCCCGTTGGCCTCTGGGAATCCCTTTCAAGGCCCTCTTCGCTCTCATGCACCTGTGCAGGAATTATTACCTTATGGCTGGCACAGGACACAGATGGCATATGTGGAGCCATCTGGACTCCTGTCCTCAGTGTCCTCCAGCACCCTTCCCCCTACACACAAGCACCCCTGAAACTTTGGGATCCCCGCCCATCCTGAGATAAGGTTGCCAGATTCATAAACGCCAAGCATGCTAAAAAATGGTTCACTCACGTTCTCATCTCACCGAATGTCCTGCAGCTCATGGAGGAGAGATGGGGAAATGGGAATTGTCAACACTGTAAATCTTTTTCTCCACTTCCTGTCATGCGTGGGCTGTTACATGCAGCTGTACGCTGAATACTGACAGACTAAATATGATGTGTGAAGGGCAAGAGTAAGCTCTCCAAGGGCCCACAGCACTTCGGACTGGCACGCTAGATAAACCTGGGTCACTACACCCAGTATAACTTTAATTTGTGAGACACCAAAATGTTTGCAAAATTTAAAGGTATTCTCTCCTCCTAAACTCAGCCAACTAGCCCAGAAAAAAAAAAGAAGAAAATCTTGTCATGCCCACAAGGGCAACATCTGGCATTAAGTAAAAGAATGTCATGGAAAGATCATAGAGATTGGAATCTGGACAGTCCAGAGTTTAAATTCTGCCTCCACTCTCCCTAATTTGTATAGAGTCTCCAAGTCTCAGATAATCCTCCCACAAAATGGGAGCAATAATAACCCCTTAAAGATTTTGAAGTGAAAGTGCTTCACTAACTGTGAAAGCTGATAATAATCTAATTATTATTTATGAATTCCAAATAGCACTGAGCAGCTTGAGTGGTTGCTGTTCTGATGTAGCATCTCTAGGATAGTACAGAAAAAAAAATAGAGTGAGTAGCACAGCCTGAATGATGACTATATCACTATACCAATTAAACAACCTACTCGGAAAGGCTGGGATAAAAGTCCATATTAACAATCAAGGCTAAGACAAGGGGCTGGAGAGACGATTCGGTGATTAATCGTGTTTGCTGCTTTGGCAGAGGACCTGTGCTTGATTCCTAGTACCCAGGCCATGTGGCTCACAACCTCCTGCAACTCCAGCTCCAGGAGGTCCAATACCTCTCTCTGGCCTCAAAGAGCAGCCCCAACATATACATGTATATTTGTCATACCCACACATACATATAACTAAAAATAAATCTTATGTTTTGTTTTTGTTTTAAAGAAGCAATAGGGTGATCCAGGGACAGACAACTGCACTGGTAAGAGCTATCCATCCTCAGAGTGATGACCTCACCCTCTGAAGGCTGCACAAGCCCTGGTGACAGCTGGTCCACAGCACGTTTGGCTATCGGGGTTGCTGCTGGGAAGTTAGAAGGCAGGCAAGTGGAGAATCCAAAATATCTCTCCTCTTTTCTCTTCCCTTGAGATTTTCCTGGTGACCCCAGACTCTGGGACCACCATCGCTCCTGCCTAACGCACAGATTCCTGCATGGCAAGAGGCTATTGTCTGTTTGGCTCTTAGCCTCTTCCATCATTCTCTGCCAGTCTCCTGTACTACATTTCCCACTTGAAATAGTCCAGGTGACCTCTGTTTCCTTTCTGATCTAATGATGAAAATGAAAATGGCCTTGAAGCAGGGTTTGATGAAAATACAGAACCAGAAGTGATGGATGGTTCCTGCTGAGGCAGAAGAATCACAACTTTGAGGCCAGTCTGGTCAACTTTCTGAGACTCTCAAAATGAAAACCAAAAGGAGTTGGTGTTCTTGGGCCAGGATGTAGCTCAGCAATCGAGCGCACCAGAGAAGTGTGTGTAAGGTCCTGGGTGCGAGCCCCAGTACTGAAAGAAAACAGGTATGAAATGATTGAGAAACAGTAGCTTTCAGGTTGGAAATACTCTTCTAGACTACCAATCTGCTGAAAACTCCTCAGGGACACTGCACCGCAGGACTCAAGATAAGCAGTGCAGTTAATCATATTTCGCTGGAAAATCCCAGGAGCCCTCTTTTGTACACAGGATGCCTTCTCCACCTCCAGCTGCTACTATCTATAGTACCAGTGGCTGCTGGGCAAAGGACCGAGATGCCTTCCAGGCTGAAGGAGCTATTAGCAAGTGTCATGCATGCATTACCACATAATTAAGAAATTTCACCTAAAAAAAAAACTTTCTCCTCAAATAATGAGAGAAGCTAAACAAGCCTTAAAGAAAGAGGCTTTGTGGAGAAGAAAGCAGGCAGTCGTCAGAGGCATTTTGTATTAGAGACAAGTATTTATGGATTGGGGGACGGAGATCATGAGAAGCAGGTGTGCAGTGTCAAGTGTGAAAGTGACACCCATGAATACACAGAAGATGTGACTACATGCCTGACAGAAAGGGACCCTGCCTTTGTGAGAAAGTAAAGGACAGCTGCCACCACACAACAAAGAGCATTAGCATCTCCACTGTGCCTGCTTCAAACAGCCCAGGCTGTACCAGGAAGTACCACGGAAAGCTCCAGGCAAGCTGGTTTGCTCCCTCTGGTTCTTAGCACTAGATTAGTGGGGCTCCATCCTTCAACAAAGTTCAAACCTAGAGCCTCCCAGGGTGAGCTTTGAGCTCTGAGCTCCAGACTTGGTACATTGGAAGCACAGAACTGCAACCTCTCAGTGCCTGGGAGAGAGAGCATGCCCTGAATCCAGTCAAGACGAAAACCCCATGGATCCAGGCTGTACTGCCTACAGGCAGTGTGATGGAAGCATTTTCTCAAGTGAGGTTCCTTCTTCCTACATAACTCTAGTTTATGTCAAGTTGACCAAAAACTAGTCAGCTCAATTTCCCAATGGACCACTCAGCACTGTTTTATAGCTGGAAATCCTAGTAAAGGGCTGGAGGGGGCAGCCGGCCTGGAGAAGGCCATGAAATAGTCCCCAGACATTTGTCAAATATGGATGTCAAGACAAATGCATCAATTCTGGCCAGCCTCTGCTCCAGCCCCTCCTTGAACGGAGGCTCAAGGGCTGCAGCAGCATTTCCCCTCACTGAGCGCTTACCGCCTCCTCAGACTCCATCTTCCTGGGGCCACAGATAAGAAAATCAACTCCCCACATGGTCAGGGCCAGCCAACCAAACCAACAGAGGTCAGCCTACCTTATCCAGTCTAGGGCCACATAATGCATCTAGCCACAGGTCTTCAAGACGGCAAATGTGTTCCCACTGAGAGATAACAACTGGCTCTTGGGTGTCTAGCTGTAGCTGCCAGTGGCTTTCCAGTATCCCTCTGTACATGAGAAAACAATCTCTTCAGACGCCCAACCTGTACTGCATTAGTTTCTCAGTTCCCCTCACAGGTTTCCCTCCCACCGGTGACTTCTGCAAGAGTAAGGGCCAGCCACCAGGCTTCAAGAGGAAGCAGGAAGGACTGTATAAAGTAGGGGGACTTGGACGAGGGTAAGGCCTAGACCCATATCTGGCTCCTCTCTAGCAATGGCCATGGGTGACAATCATCAAAAGGTTGGGTCAAGACAGGAGTAAAGAATGCTCATGCAAAAGCTTTGTCTTTGTAAGGACATACCAGAGTTTCCATTTACGTGCGTGGAATCAGGGACCACCACAAGTACCTCTACAGCCTTCGGCAGTGCCCTCTCCTCCCACTCGGGGGCAAACACATGCCTTAGTGAAGCCAGGCATCATCTGAACCCATGGGAAGTGGAGGCTGTGCAAATGGAGTCAAGGTAGAAAACATAAGATGAAGGAGCTGTATCCCATCTCCTCTCGTTCAAGGGAGATAGATGCCTGTGAGCTTGGGCTTCCTGGGGAGGTGGCAACCCTGAGTCCCTGGGGCACTATGCACAGAGGCCACAAAGATTAACCAGGGCTAATTTTATCCTGGAGTGGGAATGAACATACCTACTCTCTACCACGGTTTCCTCGAGAAGGCACAAAGGAGCAACGACTGACAGGGATCCCCAATGGGTGCCCAGATCAGTAGAAATGCTGGCATCCCTGCGGGACCTGAGGCACACGGGATATGGTCCAATGCCTGGTGAACGAGAGCTTCGGTTCAAACTCAAGCCTGTGAGCTCTGCACCAGCTCAACCTCAGCGCCACAAACCCCAACCGCTCTGGGATTCACGCAGTCCTCGAAGGCATCACACATTTCACAAGCTGTTTCCTCTGCAGGAAAGACCCCTCCTGCGGTCTCCTTGACCAAATCCCTGTTTATCCTTCATGTATCTTCCTCCCCTTCATAGCCCAACAGTCCAGTTGGAAAATAATCTGATAACCCAGATGCTATGACAGGATATTGCATTTTCTTTTGGTTTTTATTATTTAAATCTTATGAGGAGTAATTCGAGTAGTTATTAATAATTTGACTTTCCTCCAACATTTACATATGAAGGAAAAACTTGAGCATGCAGCCAAACTCAAAAAAGCCTGCGGTCAGTGATCACTGCACACCCCTCACCTACATTCTGCTCATAACATTTTACTGTACTTATTTTTATCATGTTTTTACGTATCCTTCACTTCATCTTATTTTTTATTATGTTTACACATAGACTGCAAAGAGCTGGAGAGATAGATGGCTCAGCCATTAAGTGTGTTTGCTCTTCCAGAGAACCAAAATTTGGTTTCCATCACCCACAGCTGGTGGTTCACACCGACATCAGCCGCTCTAGAGAATAGAATGGCTCTGGCCTCCATACGCACCTGCACACAGCTAAAAAGCAGTAAAAATAAATCTTAGAACAAAACAGCAACAAACCCAGCACAAACGGATGGGGGCTGGAGACATGCCTCATTGCTTAAGAGCACTTGTTGCTCTCGAAAAGGATTGGGTTCAGCTCCAGCACCTGCATGGCGGCTCACAACTGCCTGTAAGTACAGTTCCACAGGATCTGATGCCCTCTTCTGACATCATCGGTTCCTGCACGTATGTAGTGCACATACATACACTCACACACATATGACACAGGTAAAATGGGTAAAAATTAAATAACTAATTAGAAAAAATACCAAATAGCTGGGCATGGCGGTACATGCCTGTAATCTCAACATTCAGGAGGCTGAGGCAGGAAGATGTGAATTTGAGGCCAGCCTATGAAATTTCATGACCTGTTCTCAAAAGAAAACTTAGAAAGGGTGGGAGGCAGATCAGAGGAAGAGCCTGGACCTGGCTTCAGCCATCAACACCAAACAAAGAAACAAACACACACTGTGGTCATCAGTACCTCTCTCCCAAAAAACAATTTAACTCTTTAAACACTGCTGTAAGGGGGCTGGAGAGATGGCGCAGCAGTTAAGAACATTGGCTGCTGCTCAAGGGGACCTGAGTTCAATTCCCATCACCCGCATGGCAGCTCACAACTACTGTTACCTCCAGTCCCAGGGGATCTGATGACATCTTTTGGTCTCTGCTTAGGCACATTAGAAAAATAAATACAAAAATTAAAAAACCCATGACACCAACACTGATGAGGCTAAGCCATGAGGATTGTCATGAGTTTGAGACCCACGTGGGCTAAATAAATTCCAGGTCAGCCTGGGCTACAGTGTGAGGTCCTGTCTCAAAAATAAACTAAAAAAGAAAATGAAAATCCTCCTATTGATACCAGGTGGTGATGGTGCACAATTTTAATCCCAGTACTCAGAAGGTAGAGTCAGGCAGATTTTTAAGTTCAAGGCCAGCCTGGTCTACAGAATGAGCTTGAGCTACACAGAGAAACCCTATTTCAAAATAAACTGAAGAAAAAAAGAGGAGGAGCAGCAGAGGAAGAATTTATTTTGAATGCACAAAGGAATGAGGACAGTATGATTTAAAAAAATTTTCTCTCCTTCCTTTTTTTTCTGAGACAGGGTTTCTCTGTGTAGCCTTGACTGCCCTGGAAATTGTTCTGTATAGCAAGCTGGCCTCAAACTCACAGAGATCTGCCTGCCTCTGCCTCCCAAGTGCTGGGATTAAAGGTGTGCGCCACCATTGCCCGGCATTAAAATTTCTTTTCTAAATTAGGCATGCTGGTATGTGTCTGTATCCCAGTATACTCAGAATACTGAGGCAGGGGGATGGAGAATTGAAGACCAGCCTGGGTTACATAGTAAGAGTCTATCTTAAAAAAAAAAAAAGTTACCTTCTTTTTTTTTTTTTTGGTTTTTCGAGACAGGGTTTCTCTGTAGCTTTGGAGGCTGTCCTGGAACTCACTTTGTAGACCAGGCTGGCCTTGAACTCACAGAGATCCGCCTGCCTCTGCCTCTCGAGTGCTGGGATTAAAGGCGTGGGCCACCAACGCCCGGCCAAAAGTTACCTTCTTAAATAACAGACTTTAAAAAAAAAATTACTGCATGAAGCCAAGAGAATTGGATTGTAACTTAATGTGTTCAGTCAGTAACATTAACGCCTGAATTTGCAAAGGCTCCTACAGACCCTGGTTCACTAACACCAGCAACAGTTCTATGCACTGGAGGTGATCTCCACTTTTTCTCTTATTGTGGTAACATATGTATATAATTTTCCACTTTAGCTCTCTTGAACATAATTCAGTAGCATTAAGTACATTCACATTGCTAGGTAACCATACCACCATCCATCACCATAACCTTCTCATCAGGCCACCCTCAAACCCTTGTCATTTGAAATTGCTCCCCACACTTCCCTCTCCGGCAGAGCTATACCCACGGATTTTCCTCTGGGGATTGCCTGTTCTAAAGAGAACGGTGTCGTAGCTGTTCTTTCCTGTCTTGCTCTCGAACATCACAGAGGCTTTCCCTTCAAGGCCCATCCTTGTTAGGGCACACATGGGGATTTCCCTTTAGACTGAAATTCTGCCTCTACCTCGTTTTATTGATTCTTTCATCAGTTGATGAACACCTTTTGGCCACCATGAATAACGATGTTGTATTTGAACATAACAAACATACAGATGCCTGTTTAAGACATTGCTTATTATTTCCATTCTTCAGATAAGGAATCCACAGTTCAAAAAGGCCAGCGCCAACTAATAGTGACTCAGGTCCTGTAGAGCTGAGTTCAGCCCAGGAAGAAGGTGCTGGAGGGACACCTGTTGGGGAGGTATTTTGTTTGTCATGTAGATGTCCAGCTGGGTGCACAGGTGGACACATGTTTGTTGATGAGTGGCCAAGAGCATCTATCCCAGATAAGTAGTCTCTCTTAGAACTCTGAGGGTGGGCTGGAGAGATGGCTCAGCCGTTAAAGGCTAGTCTCACAACCAAAAATATAAGAACTCTGATGGTGCCACAATAGTTCAGCCGCCGAGGTGACACCTGACCCTTGGGAATCTATTTCTAACTACAGCATCTATTCTGATTGGTCAGAGACCAATGCCACGCTGTTTTTGATATTCAGATTAGCACCCTTGCGAAAGCAGAGTGGTTCTTGGTTGGTTGGGGGGGGGGGATGAGCTAAATGACTAGAGAGCCTTGAAGCCCTGGGAATTAGAAAGGAATAAGCCAAGATTATTAGCTAAAATAGAAGCTTAGATTTAAGCCTAGAAGAAATGGCCAATAGCCAGAGCAAGAGGAAGGTCACTAGGGCAGTCCAGGTGGAAGCTTCAAGTGCCTTGTGGGGTGGTTACCGGAACCATTAGCTTGCCTCAAGTTGAAAAAGGAGGCCCCAGGCCAGGCAGGGAGAGCGCTATTCACCATTGACTCTGCAATCTGAGGGACAGCCCACAGCGTTCTCACCCAAGAGAGACAAGGGAAGCCAAGAGAGACTGGGGCTACCTCGGATAGCTGGGACTCACTGTGAAGAAGCAGTGTGAAACGTCAGACCCTAAATGCTGTCTCCTGAGGAGAAATCCCCTCCCTGATCGTTATCTTTCTTAGGGGTGGAAGCAGGCGGTGGCCACAGGGTGCAAGGCCTGACTGTGGTGAGTGTGGGGGCTGGGGCTGAAAGAGGGGAGTCCCCGGGGACCTCACAGAACCCTGCGGCCATGCCAAGCCCATCACTGGGCCCAGCCTTGTTCTTCATGCCCACCTCAGGGTCAAGCTCCTACTTCCTCTTTGTACCCTCTGCTGGGGCTGAATGAAGTCTCACACCAAAGATACTGTTTGGTGCAAGTCCCTGACTCTGTCCTGGAAAGTTCTCTCTGCCTGCCCACATTCATTTCTCCTGCTGCTTCTGGTAACTACTGCTGGGTTGCTTTTTGGGGAAACTCTCTCTCTCCCTCTCTCTCTCTCTCCCTCCCTCCCTCTGTTATATCACATATAGAATGTATAGCTGTCATCATTTTTAGGCATGCAATTCAGTAGTGTTGAGTACATTTCACTGTTCACCTAATCCATGCCTTCTTAAGAAGTCCAGTTTGTTTGTTTCTTTGGGTTTTGTTTTTCTTTTGGTCTGATCCCAACTCCTCACAGTGGGGACTGTGAAGAAGGCTGTCCCTGTTACGTTTTCTGTGTCTCTAACCAGAGTGATGGGCTTATATTAGACACAGTATCACTCCAGCGACAGATACAACACTAAGAGGAAAGACCTTTTCTCTTGCTTCCCACACTGGTGGGAGTTGGAAGCTGATGGCAGCCTTTGTTTCTGTTCCCAGGACCTACCCAGTATGAAGAAAGCAAAGCCAGATGAGAACAGATGGACTCTTGGTGACATTTTTGAGACCTGGATCCAGTCATGCCTGAAGTAACTGGCTTTAGACTTATTCAGTTATATGACGTAACAAATCCTCTTTTGTGTTATGAAGCTGTTTTCAGCTGGGTTTTATCATCTGCAGTTTAAATAATCCTATCTAGGGCTGGCCAGGTATGTACCTCATTGGCAGACCTAACATGTGCAAATACCTGGGCTCGATCCCCCATGCCAACAAAAATAAATAAATAATAAAACAATCCTATCTTCTAGATCCTTGAAACACAAGGCATCATGAGTTGGAAGTGTCATAGTCTGCTTTGCCTCTCCAAGCTTCCAGAAACCACCTGCTAACCCATCAGGTTGCACACATGACCTTTGCTTACCAATGAGGCTGAAAACAATGGTTTAGAGGGAAAGGAGTAAATAATAAATTCAGAGGTCAGAGACATATGCACATATTAATAAATGTGTCATTGAAGTGACACGTGAGCAGAAGCCAGTGACACTTGTGAGTGTGTTACAGACAAGCAGGTTCTAGGAAAGATGATCAAGGCCTTTTGGTGTGGTTGCAAGCCCACTCTCTTCTGACATATGTGGTCATGACATGGATGCAGCATGACCCAAGCCACCAGCTATCCACAGAAGAGTCTGGTCTCTACTCCATAGTGGAATGTGCACTGTATCCAGTAGACAGCTTGTGGTCTACACTGGACCTTTTTTTTTTTAAGTCTGGAAGACTTTTTTCCTGTTTCTCCTACAGCCCTCTCACAGGAAAAAAGGGCACTGGGAGCCTGCTCTCCTTAGGATGCTCCTGTGGTGATCGGATAGTGGCTTAAGAACTATAGGGTAGTGAGTTCTAGGACAGCCAGATGGAGTGTGTGTGCCCACAGAGCTCCCTCGAGGGACCCCATCGATGAAGGCACCTTCTCTGTGAGGCTGTATGGCTTTGTTTTTAACCTAAAGACAGATGTTGAGGTTTTTTTTTCCTGAGCCCATGATTCTATAACCCCCTCTAAGAACAGCCTGAGGGGGGCGTCCCCAGACTAGAAAACACCCAAACACCTGCAGCCATGGAAATAGTCAGTGCCTCAGTCATTAGCAAAAAGGGGCTCTGGAAAACCTGCCTTAGTCGCTCCAATCCTAGTCACAGTGCGGCACGTGTTCATCTCCGTAGAGCAACGTGGAGTCAGCGACCTCTTTGAGGGTAAAGCTTCTTCCTGCCGCTCCTGGGTGTTTGTGGGTACATGGGTGTGTGTCTGTGCCCGGAGAGGCCCAAGGGGCTACAGCAGAGCACTGGACAAGAGTCGGAAGGCCCTGGCTCTAGCCTCTCTCTGACACTCCTATAGCTGTGGATCAGAGTAACCTCCTAGTAGATTTTACCCGGGACAAAGACTCTAGGAGAGGCGCTTGTGCTGTCTTTAGGCTGAACACACACAGTTGACCCTGGGAAACTCCTGGTAAGTCCTCGTAACTGTAGACGAGTCTCACGCCTTTGCCTGTGTAATGGTGGGTCTCAATTTATATCGAGGGGCGAGAGAGACGATGACAACACCCGCATGGTGAGTGTCCACAGCCTCGTCTCTTTATGTCCGGTCACTCAGACCAGGCAAGGGTGGGATGAGAAAACGGAGGCTCAGAACGTTCACCGACCTGTTCACATTCGCCCTGAAGCGGCAAGAACCGAACCACAGCTGATTCTAAAGTCCTAGGTGCTTCTCCCACATCACACCCTCCTTCTCAGCTCTACAGGTTCCAGAGGGAAGGACTTCCACCCACGCCAGAGGTGTAGCCCCCAAATCCAGCCCGGAGGCGGGGTGTCTGTACACCGCAAACCAAACTTCACAAGAGGCGCGTGTGCGCGCGGGGGGAGGGGACTGGCCTCCCACCACCCAATTCTTCCCCAGCTCGCCCACCTCGAGAAGCCTGGCGGTGCCCGGCGGTGAGCCCACGCACGAAATACTCACGGCTCCCGCAGGCCTAGGCGGCTCCGCGGGGCGCATCGTCTCCAGGGCCCCAGCCTCCAGGACAGCAGTCGCCGCCGCCGCGCTGCCTACTCGCTCTGGGGCATCAGATTATTTTAGTACTTGCGGAAGGAACCGACGGAAACTGAAGTCACATGGAGGGCTCGCCGCTCAGCGACTCAGCACTCAGCAGGCGTCTTAGAAGGAACTGCGACCGCGGGGGGCGCGGGGGATGGGACAAGGACGCGGGCGGCGCACGGCCCCTGGAGGACCAGCAGGTGCAGTCTTCGAAGATGTTAGGATCGCTAAGCTCCCTCCTGGGTGGGTGAGCACCGGAGCTGAGAGTCCTGGCTTGTGGTCCGTAATCCCAGGAAGTCTTCTTTCTCCACGTTTCTGTCCAAGGATCAAGTTGGGGCAGAATTTGCTGAAGGGCAACACAAGTTTGTTTAACTGGAAAAGGGGACGAGTCCACCGTTTAGAAGGGTTGTCCACCCGTTTATCTTTGTTTTTATCGACTCAGCTAGTCTTTAGCAATCTTTTTTTTTTTTAAATGGGCACCGTGCTTTAAAAAAAAAAAATAAGGAAAGGGCCTGGAGAGATGACTCCGTGGTTAAGAGCACTAGCTGCTCTTCCAGAGGACCCAGGTTCAACTCTTAGCATCCACACGGCAGCCCACAGCTGTCTGTAACTCGAGTTCCAGGGAATCTGACACCTTCACACCAACGCACATAAAATAAAGTTAAATAAAATATTTAAAAATTAAGTAAATAAACAGGGCGTTGCTGGCGCACGCTTTTAATCCCAGCACTCCGGAGGCAGAGGCAGGCAGATCTCTGTGAGTTCGAGGCCAACCTGGTCTACAGAGCGAGTTCCAGGACAGCCAAAGCAATACAGAGAAACCCTGTCTCGAAAAACAAAAACAGAAACAAACAAAAAATTAAGTAAATAAATAAATGGAAAAGAAAGTTGGGCATGGTGGCACACACCTATAGTCCCAACCCTGGAGAGGCTAAAGCAAGAGGATCAGACTATAAGATTGTCTTGTCCTAAATTGCAAGTTTGGGACTGCCCTGGGATTTGTGAGACCCTGCCACAAACAAATAAGCAAGGGCAGAGGAAGACAAAGAAAGGAAAGGTTTGGTTTGTTTTTAGTGGAGCTTGCATTGTGGACCGTCAGTACCATGGACTTCTTGGCTCTATGGAGGATGGGTAGGTGGCTTGATATGCTATGTAGAAAACCCTTTGCCAATGATGGCGGCATGCATAGGGCTTGCACAGATCCAAACCAGACCTGGACTCAGGGCTGCGATGGAGAAGTGGACATGAGCTCCCATCCCTAACCACTCACAAAGGAAAATTAGTTTCTCCAAGGGGTCTCACTGGGTTTACAACCATGGGTTAGGGCAGGCCCCATGCCCAGCAGTAGATGGCCAAACTTGTTCCTCTCCTAGTTAGACTCTCACCCATCTTTCATAGGGTATGACCCTAAAATGTGTGGGGATCAATCCATTCCTTCCTTGGGGTCTTTATGGCTGGCCATTGTACCATTGTACCATTTACCTGGGCATTGTTTAAATCCAGGTTCAGCCGGTTTAAGAGTTATTGATGCATGAGGGTTTTTTGTTGTTGTTGTTGTTTTTGGGGTTTTTTTTTTTTTTTTGGTTTTTTGAGACAGGGTTTCTCTATATTGTTTTTGGAGTGGTGCCTTATCTCTCGCTCTTGGTTTGTTGAGACAGGGTTCCTCTGTGTAGCCCTGGCTGTCCTGGAACTTGCTCTGTAGATCAGGCTGACCCTGAAACCACAGAGATCCACCTGCTGGGATTAAATTCATGTACCACCACCACCCTGCTACTTTTCTTTCTCTTAAGACAGGGTCTCGCCGGACGTTGGTGGCGCACGCCTTTAATCCCAGCACTCGGGAGGCAGAGGCAGGCGGATCTCTGTGAGTTCGAGACCAGCCTGGACTACCAAGTGAGTTCCAGGACAGCCTCCAAAGCCACAGAGAAACCCTGTCTCGAAAAACCAAAAAAAAAAAAAAAAAAAAAAAAAAGACAGGGTCTCATTTTAGTCTAGGTTGGCCTGGGAGTCACTACACAGTCACAGCAGGCCCTCACCTGATCTTCCTGCCTCCCTTTTCCAGTGCTGGAGTTTCACATTGTACCACCACCCCCAGATCATCCACTTGGATATGATTTATACATTGGCATTCTCTGCAAGATTTCTCTCAAGGAAACTTAAAAACTGGCAGCCTTAAAGGTTGTGGAGAGACAAGGCAACTGACTGGAAAATAGCAAAGACTGCTCTCCTAGAGTAGCAGCAGAAGGACCCCAAAGACTTCCAGGGGACACCAAGTCAAAGCTGAAGAAAGAATGCTTCTCATGCCAGCAGGGCTGAAGGCCTGAGTGTCCAGTTGGGATTCTCCTGCTTAGATGGATGCTCCATGGTCCTTCCCAACGCCCAGATCAGAGTCCTCCGACACAACCCAGAGTGGTCCTGCCATCACCGACCAAGCATACCCCTCTAAGCATCGCTGTGTGTCTCTTTCTTGGCCTGTGGTGTTTGTTCTGGCTCCTGTTGAACAACGTAGGCTTTGTGTTAGATTATTAGTGTCTCGTCTTGCTGCTGTGATGATATCTGAGCCAAGCGATTTAAGGCGCGAAACGTCTATGTTGGTTCGCAGTTCAGGCTCCATCATAGTGCCGAAGTTATGGTAGTATGAGCCTAGGACAGCAGGTCATGTTGCATCTGCAGTCAGGAAGCAATAGGAAGGTGAATGTTAGCGATCAGCTCCATTTCCCCATCTTACCCAGCGGAGGACCCCAGCCCCCTGAGTGGTGCCACTCACAGTTCAGGCAGATCTTCCCTTCTCCATCTAACCTAGGTAATCCTTCACCAGCATGAGGCTTGTCTCTTCTACCAGACCCTGGCAGGTAGACAGTCGATGTTAACCATCACAATGTCAAGCAGTGCTCTGCATTCCTGGGCAATCTGAGGTAAGCATAGAAAGGCCAATGCCTGACTTCCGTGTTATCTCACTGTTACATCCCACCTGGAGGTAGGTCCAGGGTCCGAAAGCTCCCGTCATACGCTCTGTCCAGCTTGTTATTTCCACAAACACACTCCATTCTCCCTCTGCCGAGAGACCTCCCTGCCTTTCCAGCCCTTTCCATTCTCAAGGCATGCCTGGGCCCCCCACCTCAGAAGCCTCTTCCTCCACACACACCATGTACAGCCCCTGGGCTCATGCTTGTGATTTATCTTTTGGGGAACTATGTCTTGTTTCTCCAGTTATACTGTAAACTTTTGGGGGTAGCAACACGTGCTATCCCAAACACCATTAACATTTGTTTAAAGAAGAAGGGGGGAAGGAAAGAAGAGAGAGAGGCAATAAATCCATCCATCTTCTGTGTGAGTCTCCAGTTGCTGACTTCTTTTTTGTTTTGTTTTGTTTTGTTTTTTGTTTTTTCGAGACAGGGTTTCTCTGTGGCTTTGGAGACTGTCCTGGAACAGTTACTGACTTCTGAGAGTTGTGTTAGGGTTGTGGTGGTTTAGATGACAGTGATCCCCATGGGCTCTTGCCTTTGAATACTTGATGTTGTGCTGTAGTTTCCTCTGAGATTGAAACACTCCATCCTGCCGGGAAGCTCCTTAAACCAGAAGGTAAACAACCCAGAACAGCTTTATGAAGTCCCTGAAATTGACCAAATTCACTGGGCCCCTCACTGAAAGAGTTAGCAGTGGACGCTAAGAAGAATCTCAGATAAGCCCCACTGCCTGGAAGAAACAGAAATCAGCTGAGCTATCGGGAAGAGGTTTAGACCAACTGAGTCACTGGGAAAGGACACTGTCCAACCTGTTGAACTGCCTGCAGGCTGTGCAGTGTGCTCCAGATTCCCAGTTTTGTGGTGTTACCGGTTCTGGGGTGGGCTTTGGTGATGCAGCTGTCTTTGAGTCATTTCTACTTCTGTAAATGACCGTCACCTGTATTCCTGTATGCAGCTTGCAGTGGTTTGGATTGAAATGGCCCCTATAGACTCATGTATTTGAATGCTTCATTATTAGAATGGGGAACTATCTGACAAGATTAAAAGGGCTAGGAGTTATAGCCTTGTTGGAGTAGGTGTGGCCTTATTGGAAGAAGTGTGTCACTGGGGTGGGCTTTGATGTTTCAAAAGCTTACACCAGCCTTTGTCAGGTCCAGTCTGTCTGCCTGCCTGCCTACCTTTGGCTCGGGATGTAGCTCTCAGATACCTCTTCAACTTGCCATGCTTCCTGTTGTGATGATAATGGACTATCCTCTGAAATTATAAGTAATCCCCCAATTAAATGCTTTCTTTTGTAAGAGTTTCCTTGGTCATAGGGTCTCTTTAACAGCAATAGAATAGCAACTAAGACATAACCAAGTATAACTCATCGTTCACCAAATTGGGCTTTGATGTTATCCATAATTTGGTCTGTTGCGGGCTCCCTTCCTGAGGTAAGAAGATGTGTGTGTTGCACCTCCCCAATACTTGGTCTCCAGTTGGTGGCTGTTTGTGAAGGATTAGGAGGTACGCTTTACTGGAGGAAGTATGTTACTAGGGGCAGTCTTTGAGGCGTCAAAAGACTCAAGCCATGTGAGTTAGCTCTCTCTGACTACTTGTGGTTCAAGTCATGAGCTCTTGAGATCCTCCTGCTTTTGTTACCCTAGTGCTGGGATTACAGGCGTGCGTTGCCGCCGCTGCTGGTGCTGCTGCTGCCGCCGCCACCACCACCACCTCCCAGCCTCTTTTCTTTTCTCTTTTTTTTTTTTAATTTGAGACAAGGTCTATATAGCCCTGGCTGTCCTGAAACTCACTAGGTAGACCAGGCTGGCCTGAAACTTAAAGAGATCCACCAGCTTCTGTCTATCAAATGCTGGGATTAAAGGTGAGTGCCACCACCCATGGTCCTATTTCTGTTTCTTTTTTTTTTTAAACATTTTATTTATTATGTATATAATCTTCTGCCTGCATGCCAGCAGAAGGCACCAGATCTCATTCAAGGTGGTTGTGAGCCACCATGTGGTTACTGGGAATTGAACTCAGGACCTCTGGAAGAACAGTTAGTGCTCTTAACCTCTGAGCCATCTCTCCAGCCCCCTATTTCTGTTTCTTAAACTAAGCTTCCTAATAGCTGTCACTTGTGGGCCACTCAGTCTCCCAAAGAGATGAAAAGGAACTTGCTTAGCGTGACAACAACCAGACACTATTTGGGTCCAGGGATGGAAGATGCTTATAGTGAAAACTGAAGGTTCATAATCTGGGTAGGAGCAGGTGGGAGGGAAGGGGCCAGTTTCCTCCTCCTGTAGAGGGGTCCCTGGGAAAGAGGAGGCAGTGCAGGTGACCTAGCCATGGAGTGGCCAGAACCAGGCCTAGAAAGTCACCTCAGGCCCAGAGACTGCCCATTTGCTTCACCTCTGGCATTTTCCATCTGCCTGGGGTTCTCTTTCCCTCACCACAGACAGGGCAACCTTCCTATCTTGGCCTTTCACCTTGGTATCTGGACCCGGACAAGCAGTGAGCTGGTGCATACTCTGCTTCTCCAGCCCCCGCACATGACAGGGAGGGGATTTCCTTAACTGGGAATTGTCCTCTTGCCCCACGTCAACGGGTTGCTGCAGGAGACTCTTCAGTAGTTTCATTTCCCTCAGCTGGAATGAAGTTTTAAGAACCAAAAATCCAAACCAGAAAGAGGTGAGGTCACCGTCCACACTGGTACTTTATGATGCCAACCATGGGAAGGTTATTGTAAAGACCCCTGAGTTTTGGGGAGGGTGAGGGGCACCAGTTACCACTGGGTCCTTTCAAGTGTGTTTTTCTTCTCTAGCTGTCTGGAGGATGAAGTTGGTCTCAAACTCTGAGGTCATCTCCTTTTGGTCCTGGTCTTCCTCAGCCACTTTCCTCTAGGGACACATCACCTCTTCCTGTTTGAGAAATGCTGACAGCATCGAAAATAACCAAAGATCGACTATTGTGCACAGGTAATGAGATGTTCATGGAAGTCAGCTGTCAATGCCAGATCTTGGTGGATAAGGGGAGGAAGATTAACCCACAGCTAACAGGAATTGGGTGTTGGGGCTTTGAGGAGGGAGAGAGCATAACTACGGGAGACTGCAAGCAAGCCTGTCTGGATCCTGTGAGCTGGGCTTTGTGTGGGTCAGATTGACAAGATGAGGAAAACTTTAAATAAGGCCTAGGCCAAAAGGAGCAACTGTGGGAAAGAAGAAGCCTGTCCATGCCTCTGCCCAATGCTGAGGGGGAATGACAGTCATCTGCTGTGACTCCACACATCCCTGGTGCCCTGACTCTGAAATGCCAGGCTTGTGATTTGGTCTGGTTTATATGTTTCCTTAGCATAAGCACCTTGGAGGGGCTGTGCAAATGTGTTTCTTAACCAAGTGAAGGCGGCTGCCATTTCCTTCACAGTGTTTGAAGAGGTTGAGGACTTGGGAAGTCATTCATTGGTAACTCAAGAGTACTTTTCCTATTTAAAATATTTTTTAGATTTGTTTATTTAATGTGTATGAGTGTTTTGCCTGCATGTAGCCCTGGCTGTCTTGGAACTCACTCTGTAGACCAGGCTGACCTCAAACTCACAGAGATCCACCTGCCTCTGCCTACTGAGTGCTGGGATTAAAGGTGTGTGCCACCACTGCTCAGCTAAAATAAATTTTTTTAGAATTCTGCCTTGGGGCTTTCACCTTTTTCCTTCCTAAATCTAGAATGTTCTTAGGCCCCTGTGTACACTGTAAGCATGTATGAATATCACTGGTTGATAAAGAGCTGGCTGGCCTGTAGCTGGGCAGGAAGAGATTGGATGGGAGAGGCAGACTAAGAGGACTCTGGGAAGAAGAAGGGCGGGGTCTCAGGAGTCCAAGCAGACACAGAGAAAACAAGACATGTGCAAAATGAGATAACAAGCCTTGAGCCACATGGCAACAAGGAATAGAAATGGGTTAATTTAAAATGTAAGAGCTAGTTAGCAACAAGCCTAAGCAATCTGCCAAGCATTTATAGTTAATAAGTCTCTGTGTGGCTATTTGGAAACTGGCTGGTGGGACAGAAATGTCTGCCTACACCTGTGTACCATATACCGAAACAATGCATGTCTTAAATTCCTTTTTGGGTGACACGTCTTCAAAGAGGGACTCTCTAATCATGCCACCTAAATGCCAACCCTCTGTCACTTTCTTTTCCCCATCTTTGCTTTTTCTTCACCATGTATTTACTTATGTCACTGCACAATACTTTATGACATATAAATTTATTAACTAATTTCTTCCAGTCACCAACTAGATTATGTACTTCTAAGGAAAGCAGCACCTGTAAACTCACTGCTCCGGGGGATCTAGCACCCTCTTCTGGCCTCTGCAGCATATACATGCACATATACTCACATGCACACACACAAAATAAATCTTTAAAAATGGGAAGTTACTACTGAAATACCACACATAAATTGTCCTGTAATGCCCCTGTTTCCCTGACAAAAGTGATCAATGGACGATGAGCAGATATGGGACCTAATGTCCATAAAATATAGTTTAGTCTTGACAAAGTGAAAAATCATCTGATTATGGTGATATAGCCAGGACAGAGAAAAGAAACCTGAAAGTCCTTGTTGAGCATCTACAAAGACACACCTGGAAAAATACAGGTGCAGGCTGGAGACAGCTCAGCTGATACATATACTCAACACCACGTCTGACAGTCTGGTTCAACCCCCAGAATCCATGTGGTGGAGAACCAACTCCTACCAGGTATTCTGACTGTCAATTGTGTGCCCCCCCACTCACTCACACTAAATAAATGGGTGTGGTGAGAGACAAGTGTCCCGTGGGGACTCTCAGTCTGCACCATTTTATATGGCGACAGCATAGAATATGGAGAAGAAAGCAGACTTTGACGTGGAGCCCAACGCCACAGCTATTTCCATCCAGGTACAAACATTATATATTATCCCTCGATGACTCTGCTTATAGGTACCAGTAGTCCCAATTTACAGTGGAGAAAATCTGGGCTCAGGCTGGTTGAGTGACTTACCCAAGGCCACACAGTAGAAAGTATAAGCACCAACCAGGTTTTGAGTATTTCAAACGTTTATTTTAAATTATGTGTAGATGCAGGTGTCTGCATTTGGCCACGAGCACCTGAGTGCAGGTGCCTGTGGAGGCCAGAGGAGTTTGACCCTGTGGAGTCGGTGGTTACAGATGGTTGTGAGCCACCATGTGGGTACTGGGAACCAAAACCCAGGTCCTCAGTGCTCTTAACCACTGAGAAATTTCTCCAGCCCCACCAACTAAGATTTTCTTTTGTAATATTGACTGTGTTTTTTATAAAAATTATTTGAGGACTGGAGCAATGCCTTGGTACTTAAGAGCACTTAC